ATCAAACCTTATTTCTCCAGGGACTGATATGGCCATTTGGTATCAATTTTCCATCCAACTGCTCCTTTTTAGGAATTGTTTCTCCTGCTCCAGAAAACGAGCGCTCCCAGGGAGTTCCAGTTGACTTTAAGGGAACTTTGGAGTAGTAGCTCAGATGCTGATGCTCAATTTTTAGTCCTCTTAAGTTAAGTGAGATGAGTACTTCTTTTAGGATTTGGAAGAGTCTTTATTGGACACAGTCTCTTTGTTTCAGTGTGTCAGTTGCACATAGTTGGATAGGTGGCGGGTTCAACGGCCCGGGAACTCGGGAGCCCCAGGCCTGCAGCAGCAGGGATGCAGCATCTCAGACAGAGCAGCAGCAAACCCAATCCCACTGCACGGCAGGATGAGGCCCGACAAACTCACTACCAGTATACAGTCTTAAACAAGACATCCAACACCATGAAGTTTAACTCTTGACATCTAACGCACACCTAGAAGAAGAGATTTCTTCGTTAGAGCCCAGCAGCCCTTACGCACCTCCTGCGACAGTGACGCACTGGGTGCAGGTCTCAACACCCACGACCAGCTTCTCCTGCAGGCTGCAAGGGGACAGAGGCCAAAAAAAAAAGAGATCTGTGCAATACCAGGTGCCTTTTGGGCAGGCTGGTGCTCTGCCAAGCCGGCAGACGGCTGCGCAGACCGCTGCGCTGGCAAAACAGAGAGGGCAGCTGAGGGCTAGGGCTGCCGGCACCGCGCGCGCCAGCACTGCGGCAGCGGGAAGAGGAACGCCTTGCGCTCGGTGCCGCACTGAGAAAGAGGTCAAGTCCCTTGGCCTGAGCAGGAGAGATCCCACCCACCCTACGAAGCAGGGACGGGTTGCACCTCCTGCTTACATGCAGCAAGAGGGAGGGATATTTTAAGGTGCATGCACCTACCTGGGACCCGAGTCCCCGCACCACAACGTGATGCAGGAGCGGCATCCAGGTGAGAGCCAGATGTACTTCTGGCCTGAAGACATACCTGGAGCTTTCCAAGGAGCCCGATCCAGGGGAACGGCCCCAGGGCGCAGCCCCTCAATTCAGCATCCCCAGGTCAGCTCCGGGGGTGCTGAGCCGGCAGCCAGGCTGCGCTGGGCCAGCCGGGTGCTGCAGCTCTGCCCCAAGAAACGGGCCAACAAACGCACATGCCGCCTGCCAGTGACACCACGGGGCTGCCACCTCCTAGGCACACAGCAGCCTCCCCTGCAGCCGGGATTCAGGCCCGACAGGGCCAAATCTCAGCTGGAATCTGGCACCGACCTCCCCGTTGAGTTTGCACAGATGCACCTCCTTGAACCAGGTGGCCAGTTTGGAGCAGATCGGAAATATGCTGCGTGCACACAGACAGGCCCTTTAGGGGAGAGCAGTGCAAGACCTGCCAGCAGCCCCAGCACCCAGCTGTCCTTTCCTGGCAGGGAAAAAAGCAGAAGCAACCTGGTGCAGAGGCCATGCAACACCTCATGCACATAACTGAGAGCAGCAGCAGGCCAACAGGCCACCTCAAAGATGAGGACTGATCAGCAGAGGGCACAAAATTAAAGTCATGCTTCACAAGGGACAACCACGGGAAGACAGAACGTGCCACATCCACGCAGCCTCAGGGGACCAGGGCAAGCCTGCAGCAGGTTTCCATCTCCCCTTTCAACACAAGCAAAAAAGTCTCCAGAAAGCCAAAACACAGTGGTTCCCTTCCAAGACAGTAGCCCCAGGGCTTTCTTCCTCACTCACCATCCTGCATTGCTGGCAGATTTGGCCACTCTTGTAGGCTCATGGGCTCCCTGCACATGGGGACCAGGATCCACAGCCTGCATGCACTCAGGAAGAAACCTGGACGTGGGGAAGCACAGCAGCCACACACTGCAGGAGGAACAACAGAGGACTCATGCCCATGTCAAGGCTGGGACTCACACCACAAGCTCAGAGCCAAGCCTGGCACAGCTGCTGGGGTTTAACCCTGCTCACCGGTAGCACCTGGTGGCACTCGGGGGTGTGCAGGAGCACAGCTGGAGGCATTAAGCAGGAGGGTCTGAGGAGGGTTGACTCCTCACCATGCCCTGCTGCCCCATCCTGGGGAAGATGGCTGGGCCAGAGGTGCCCCAAGGAGCCGGCAGGTGGGACAGGGCTGGGGAACGGGAACAGACAGCTCATGGGCTGCGTTTCTACATGTGCTCTGCCATCAGTACAAACAGGCTGGGCCAGGTTACTGCTGATCCATCCCTCCGAGGAGCTGGCAGAGGCTCCGTCACACAGCAGAAGGGAGTAAAGGTGACACCGAGCTCTTTGTGGGGAACCTGCTTCGCTTCGCCTTGCACAGGGGTGAGTTGGGGATGCTCTGGGTGACGGGGGCCTTTCAGCTAGAGAGCATCCGTTCCCCTCCCGCGGCAGCCCAGGCTGGACGGTACTACGTCAGCCCCTGGGCTGCAGGCAGGGGAAGCCGCCCCTTTCCCGGGTGCCCCTGGGCTGGTGCCCGGGGACACGCCGGAAAGGACAACAACGCTCAGCCGCGTGCCCAGGGCCACGTGGGACTATCCGCTCCCCCCCCTTGTAGCGCAGGGCAGTCTGCGGTGGACCCCCAGGTCTCTCCCTGCTAGGTTGCTTGGACGAGGGGGTCCAAACCCAGACACGAGCCCTCTCTGGATGTGGGGGGCAGCCCTGTCCTACCTCCAGCATGGCGCACGTGCTCACCACGGAAGGTGGACGCGCAACCTGTTTCACCCAGCAGGCTCTCCGCAGACCAACACGACTGCTGGGGTAATTACCAAGCTCGTTTAGGCCAATTAAAACCCTTGGGAGAAGGTAAACGACTGCGACCTGGCTCAGAGCAGAGGAGGTGGCTGCGCCAACCCGCGAGCACGAGGCACCGGCTGGGCCGGGCCCGCGGCGGTGCCGTCGCCAGGGAACACAACGTGCGCGGAAAGGGAGAGGGACTTGGCAAGGGAGGATGAGTCAGGGGCCAGGAAAGGACTTGGGGGTTATGAGAAGCATTTTAAAACGAATTGGAAACTTCCCAGGCAGCTAACAGGGTGCCTGAAGCACAGGAGACATATAACCAGAGGGCTCTGAGCCGGTGACTAACCGTACTGCGGCGCTGCCGACCAGCCGCAGCCGCGCGCCCCGCGAGCCAGGCCCAGCGATCCAGCCTGACAGCGGCCGGGGCCGCCGAGGGG